AAAGTCTAGGTGCTAAATCAGAATCAAAGGTTGTGTTCTCATTGCTTTACTTCCAAATTGCTTCTGCAACAAAACACATAGAGACCTGTCCATAAGTAGGAGGCTGATATTATATCAGTACCATCTGTTACTCTGCTCTGTCTCTAAATGAATCAGTAAATGAATCAATAAATGAAACAGTAAATAGAGTCATGACTCTTCCTTCGGCTTCTAACTGTCATATGCACTGACCCAAACAGTCATGTCCTCCCCCAAAGTATCCGCCCAATCACAGAGCAACATACTATTAATCACTGTTAAGCATCATATTAACCGTTCAATGATAGTCATCTGTGAAAGATTTATTTTTGTATCAATTAACACATTGATTTTTCACAAAATGTGTTTTTTATTTTCAGTACATCTCTTATCCTTAAAGGGAGAGGATTTTTAATCTCATATTTTACAATGACTATTATGTTCTGTTCTGTTCTGTTATGTTGTCCTCTTCTATTCTATTCTATTCTGCTATTGTTGTAGTATTCTGCTGTTAATCTGTTTTGTCATTTGTTCTATTCTGTTCTATTCTATTCTTTTCTATTCTGTTCTATTCTGTTCTGTTCTATTATATTCTATTCTGTTCTATTCTGTTCTATTATATTCTGTTGTTCTGTTCTATTCTATTATGTTCTATTCTTTTCTCTCCTTTTCTGTTCTGTTCTATTCTATTCTATTCTGCTTTTGGTTTGGCCTTTCTAACCAAAATAAAGTGAATTTAAATTAAATTACTACATTAACTCCCCTTTAATTTAAAGCTATAAAAGCTGATTGTCGCTAAACGTTTTTCTCAACATAAACAATCCTTTGCTGTCCTCAGAGTGAGTTTTTTTAGAACATGAAAGACGGAAAGGAGAGCAATATTTAAAAATCCAGGCGGGTCTAATCCACGCGGAGCCGTTGCCATGGTGACGCACGGTTCAGTTTCCCGGATGTACCTTTTTTTCCCCAGTTCAACATGGCGCTGGTAAAAGTAAGAGACTTCAGCTAATGTCAGACAGTTTGCTCAAACTTGTCCCGCTCATGCTCTTCTAGGCACAGGAAAGTTAACAGACAGCCCTCCGAGGCAGCAGGAAAAGTTTATTTCTGCTTTTCTGGGTGAGTAAACGGTTCCGGGCGCAATAAAAGTATTTAAAGGTTGTTTTTGTGGCTCCTCTCCGCGGTCGGGGGCTAACAGGAGCTAACGTTAGCCGCTGTGTTCGCTCACGGCTGTCTGCGATGGGAGCAGAGCTGCCTCCTCTCTCTGTTCCACTCAAAACTCGCTCACAGGCAGATGGAAAGTTCAATGATTAATATTTATGCCACAAACCCAGCTTGACTAAATCTTTTCTCAATGCCAGTTTGTACGGAAGAGGATTAGGGCCACTGAAAAAAAAAGTTAACTGAGTTTTAAATTTTATTTCAGTATGAGGAAAAAAGTCAGAATTCTGACTTTTGAATTCTGACTTCGATCTCAGATGTGTCTGTTAGTATGTATATATGTGTATATATATATATATATATATATATATATATATATATA